AAGAAAGCGCCATGGCAGAGATGCACGCTGCTATGGATGACTTACGCCACCACAATTAGAATTTAAAGGATAACTTCCTCCATATACAACAATACAATCAAGATCTTTAATCTACAAAATAGGTTGAAATACCGGACCCTATCATATCTCAGATGAAATATGAAAGGCTCCAGTGCTAGAGAATTTTAAGCCTCCCTCATTGGCTAATTTTGATAGGCAGAGTGACTCGTATGAGCATATTGCTTCCATCAACATACATATGTAGATTATTGGGGCTCTTGAATCCTTGAAATGAAAGTACCTATGTGGAACCTTCCAAGATGCAAACCTAAGGTGGTACACGGGCTTGCGTTAGCTTTTCATCACTAGCTATCAAAAGTTAGTGAAGAAACTACTCCACTAGTTTGCAGTAAACGAGCATAGAAAGATGGTCGTAATCGACATTTTCAACATTCTTCAAGGCCCGTCTGAATATCTTAGGAAGAATCTCTCCCATCTCAATGAGGCGATAATTAAGTTCTTCACCCCAACCAGGAAATGTTCGTAGAACCTTTTCAAAATGGCCTCAGGGTGTAACATTTTAATTAATCCCTCGCCTAGAGGTCCATTGTTAGAACAAGATTTGTTCATGACATATATTCCTTGAGTTTTGATGATAACAAAGTATTAAAATAACAATGGTTATATTTTATATGTTTTTCATGTACACAGGTCCTAATACTTATAGATATATATTCAGAATCTGATATACAAGGGCACACTTGAGAGAAGCTGAATTGCTAGCTTTTGGTGGTACAAAATCTGAAGAACACTTTCCAAGTGATGTCCGGCGTAGACTCTGAAGCTGAAGGTTTCAGCATCAGAAGAAGCAATATAATTGTATCTACACTTGGTGATTGTAAATTAGCTTCTGGTGATAATTCAAAGTTAGTGATAAAGTTGAAGCTATTCATACTGCAGAAAGCAAGTTGTATTGTCAAATCAGTTTGTCAGCTAGAGTCTTAGTTCAAAAGGCTCAAGAAAAGTTGGCATGCCTTACAGATATTTACTCTTAACGACTCTATAATACATGATCTCTTTGAATACTCAATGGTTAAACAAGTTACATAATGGATCAAAATCTTTTGGTGTATCTATCTTCAACGTCTCTTGTACTATAGATAAAGCAAAGACACTTGATCAAGTTATCTCTCTAACGGCTAGTCTTCTACAAATGCTATATAAGTAGCTAATGGTTCAAAATGAATCTTTAACAAGGATCAACCTAATGGAGGAGTAACAAGATCAGTAATTATCAACATAATCGAGTATGCAAAATTTCTGTTGTAGGTTGTAATTGTAAAAGCCTTAAGATTTCTTAAACATTGAATATCTTAGAAATCTTAAGAGATTTAGGTCTTTTTTATGGTGATTTCCTTGTACCTCTGATATTTGTATCAAATACACATTGTTCTCTATTCTACTGAACATGTTATTTAGCAATTTAGATTAAAGTCTCTCGCCAAGATGCTTGAGCCATGTAATCTCTTGCTTTGTGCTAGAGCATTGAAAGTCTTAATCAAGTATATTGATTGAGCAACCAAGTCTCTAGCAAAGATGTTTAAGCCATGTAAGTCTCATGTTTAAGCCATGCAAGTGGATTAATTGAGCAGAAGTCTTGAATCCATGGGATTTAAGCAAGGAAGTCTCAGATCAAGGGTCTGAGCAGAAGTCTTGAACTTGAGGGGTTTAAGCAAGAAGCCTTGGGTTCATGGAACCTGAGCAGGGAAGTCTTGGACCGTGGGTCTGAGCAAGAAGTCTTGGGCCTGAGGGGTTTGAGAAAAAAGTCTCGGGTCTGAGGGACCTGAGCAGAAAAGTATTAGGCTAAGGGTTTAAGCAAGGAAGTCTCTAGTCTATAGGACATGAGCAGAGAAGTCTTGAGCCTTAGGGGTTTAAGGAAGAAGTCTCAGACTTAGGGTCTGAGCATTGTAAAAGTCTTATGCAGAATGCATAAGCGATTGTAATCATGATTTGATTATAGTGAAAATCTATTGTGAACCAAGGGGACTGGACTACTCTAATTTGGGAGGAACCACTATAAATGTTTGTCATATGCTATTATTTATTTTCTCCTGTTAACATTCTGTTGCTAAGTATAATCAGAATCTGAAGATCAGTTTAGATTCTAAACTCTGATAAGACGCAAATTAAGAAAACGAAAAACAAAATTGAACCTCGCATTCTTGTGTATTTTTCTCACCTTCGTCCATATCTTCTTAGCTAAGGTCGCGACATGTGTGAAATGTTATACAAAAGGCAAGGAAATATTTTCTTAAAAGAAGGCCAGAGATGCGAAATAGCATACCTCTAATCCTGAAAGCTCATAGTAGTTCCGAAAGAATCACTACACCTCGCTTGTCCGAGACATAGCGACGTTCAAGTGAAGAGAGAAACCCATAAAAGCTTCACACCCTTGAACATTCGATGTAAGCAGATATAAAAAGAAGTCCTCCACATGTATGACATTCCACAACCTCCAGCTCCCAAGCCAGATGTTGTTGGGCTCGAGCTAATAGATGATGAAAGTCCACAATATCAAGGGACACCATCAAGAGGATTACTGTTAATTCAAACGGGAGATAGAACGCTTTATTCAAAAAGGTCACCTACAGAAATATATCAAGGGTGTCTCCACGTAAAAACCTGACAGATATAACTCTCACGAACAAAATGTTTCTAGAAATCCCAAATTTAAAAAGGACAAAGAAGCGAGTAAGGGGCAACGATTGTACGCCACACTTATAATATATTTTGTTTAGTTTTGGGTCTTAAAAATGATTTTATGTTGTTTTAATCACTGGCTTGATATATATATATATATATATATATATATATATATATATATATATATATATATATATATATATATATATATATATATATATATATATATATATATATATATATATATATATATATATATATATATATATATATATATATATATATATATATATATATATATATATATATATATATATATATATATATATATATATATATATATATATATATATATATATATATATATATATATATATATATATATATATATATATATATATATATATATATATATATATATATATATATATATATATATATATATATATGGCAAAATACTCTTTTTCGTCCCTTAACTTTACCTCGGGGTCCATGTTGGTCCTTTATCTTTAAAAAGTGGAAAGTTGGTCCTTTAACTTTTAAAATGGTGTCATTTTAGTCTACACCGTCAGTTGCCCCCAAACGACCGTTTATTTTGCATATCTGGAAGATGACCTAGCAAGCATGAAATCCCTAATTTTATTCATGATGTTGCTTCCTTCTCCTTCCTTCTTCCGTTCAAATCCCTAAAAAAATGGTTTTTCATGCAGTCCTTTCAGTTCAGACGTGTTCGTTGTTAGAGATGAAGGTTTTGAGGAAGTTGGTATTCTCTGTCTGGTTCCAAGGTTTGCCATGAAAGCTTTGAAGTGGAAACTTGAAAATCAAATAATGGTTCAGTTCAAAAAGTGCTTCTGATAAGCAACAAATGTTTTAGAAAAGTTGTTTTAATATATATAACTTGAATCTCTTGAATTATTGATATGCTTATATAGAATCAAGTTGAATGAGGAGACATCAAATTCTCCGGTGACAGTAGCTTGAAGACTTAAAAAATTAAATATTAGTGAAAGACTGAGTCAAATATTATCATAGAATAATTTGTAAGTCAAATTTTCTTTGACCCTTATAGTTGCTATATTACTATCTATCTACTAAACAAATAAAGATACTTTTTTTTAATAATTAAAATAGAAGTACTTAATTAAGTTTTTCCAACTTCAACTTTTTCTGAAGTGTTTTGCTATATCTAATTTACAACTGGAAAAAAAACTCAACTTTTTGATACTTGTAAACCAGTCTTCTTTCTAGAAAGTTTGGTAAAAGATTATTCAATTTTAAGAACCTATTTTTCAAGTAATTATCTTTAAGATAATTAGAGAAATACTCATTCAAAAATTACTACAAGTCTTGATGCTATGATTAACTTAAAGAAAAATCCAATATATTAATTTGGCACCTTCTTAGTTGTTTCAAACATTGTTTTCAGTCAATTTCTTGGCACAAAGTCAATATAATGCCAAACCATTAATCCAAACTGTTGTATATAGATCTTTTTTTCAAGTCAATACATTAGAGAATCCCCATCCACTTTAACGTATTCAAAAACAACATTAATGTATGTACAACACTTTCCCTCTTCATTTGGGGGGAGTACAGAGGGATGAACTATGCATGTTACAAGCTTTGATTTGATGAGTATAAGAGGGAAAAACCACGAGATCAATCAATTAATGGTCAAAGTTTTTTTTATGCTTTGTATATAACAGTTTTGGACTATCAATAATATATTTGGCATGTTCTGCTTTTAGGTTCATTTCATTGTACCTATAAACAACAACAGCAGTAGGATACATAAACCTGTAATACTTTCCACAAAATATACTTGTTCCAAAACAACAGCAGAATACACAAAATATACTTGTTCCAAAACAACAGCATTAGAATACATAAACTTGTAATACATTCCACAAAATAGACTTGTTCCAAAACAACAGTAGAATACATAAACTTGTTCATGACAATTAGGTTATGCTTTTAACACAACTGATACACTAGTTTCACAACAACAACAAAATACATAAACATTGTAATACATTCCACAACTAGATTTTTCTAGGTAACTGAATACACATGTTCCACAACTAGAGTTTTTTCTTTGGCGTGGTCCTCTTTGTTGGAGTAGACCTCTTTGTTGGAGCAGGTCAATGTGTCTTCTGAGCAGCCTTTCCCTTAGAAGTCTGAGATGCTTGGCTAGATTGTTGAGTAGGCTGAGTTGTTGAAGTTGGAGTGTGTTGGCTAGGTTTTTGTGCCCTCACATATAGATTTGTAATGTCCTGCTTTCTTACACCTACTACACTTCACCAGAAAGCATAACCATCACAAGCAGCTGTAGGTGGAATCTTAATATAAACATTGGGGCGAGAAACAAATTTATGAAGCCATTTTGCAGCTTCTATGGTTCCTTCAGTATCTTCAGCAAGACTAGGAGATACTTCAACAGAAACATAGCCATCACCACCATCAGTTTGATTGTAAATTTGTTCAAATAGTTTGGAAGCATCTTGAATGTCCTTCACTACAAGTTCCCAATAAGCACTTTCAATGTCTTTCCCTGCTTGCACAAGTTCCCTGCATGATAAAGTAATTTGTCTTTAGCAACAAGATCAGGAAACACAATAACTAGAGTTATAGTGAAATTTTAGGCCACAACACAAAGAACAACACATTTACAAAATTGAAAATGATACAAATTTTTCATTTTTTAAGTACATTTTCCGTATAATGACCGTATCCATTAAACTCTCAGGGATATATAAGCACAAGAGCAGACAAAACAATATACTTAAGGAAGACCTTCCCCTCCCGTAAAAAATAAAATAAAAAAGAAACCAAGTAGCATTGTCTTTGTCAATGTTGTCAATTAGCAGCTCTATAGCTCCACGGCATAGCAAAATTTGAACAAAATGCTATTCTCCGCAATCCATGATTGACAACATTGACCTATGTGTAGTTTACCAAGCTAAATATACTTTATTAAATGACAAGCAAAACTAAGTAATACAATGATTATGCAAACTATAGACAGACAATAATGAGCAATGACTATGCCTCGACGGTCTACTCTACTGCTCATTACGTCGCTGTTCAAATTTGAAAGAAACACTTTTGGTAGTAGTAAAAGATAATGATAGTACATGAACTGATCATTGTAGGCATTTGAAGATGAGATAGCTTTCTGAAAGATCTGCAATCACATATATACAACATATTAGTGCAATGACATCTGATATTACATAAAAAGCACAATAAATTACAAGACTTAAAAAGTGTACACCATGCACTGTTAATCCTGCAAGGACACAACCATAAAAGTCTCATATTTCTCACTAGGCGATGCAAGAATTATAACCAACTAACATTATATTAGTATTACCGCTGGGTTACTAGTGACGCCTCTGACACCACTTTCAATGAGAGGAATCAGATCTGTAACTGGTCGGCAGAGATTATCATACCATGGACTCTGCCCTTGTTTCTCATAAACAAAACCAACAGTCAAAGGTTTGCCTCCATATAAATCTTGTTTGGAAAATAAAAAACAAAGCCTCATATTCTTCAAGTCAATAAGAACTTTTTAACTATAAAGAACTGATTTTGGGGTTCATCACATTGACAATATAGATTATTATTCAAACCTTAAA